TCGTAGTGGCTCAGGGAGCGAGCGCTGCGGTCCCGGTCCCAGTCGCGGTCCCGATCCCGGTCGCGGTCCCGGTCGCGGTCCCGGTCGCGGTCCCGCTCACGCTCACGCTCACGATCCCGATCCCGATCCCGATCCCGTTCGCGCTCGCGGTAGCGCTCACGGTCTCGATCACGGTCTTCGCGACGCTCGCGCACCGGCGAGAGGCCGCTGGCTTTGCGGTAGGAGCGTTCGCGGTCGGCCTGGGCTTTGCGGCGGTCGGCCTCATAGGCGTCGGGCTCCGGGGTCCGGCTCAGGCGGCTGGATGCTCCTCGCCGTTCGCCACGGTGGGAGAGACTGCTGCGATGGTCGCGATCGCGGTCGCGGTCGCGCTCACGGTCCCGATCCCGATCCCGATCGTGGTGGTCGCGACGGCTGCCGCCGCGATCTCGGTCACGGACCTCCCGGTCTCGCTCAGCGTCTTCTTCTTTCTCCTTCAGGCGCCGGATCACCTTGTCGAAGGCCGCCTGGCGGAGATCGTCGGTTTCCAGGGCCTTGTATTCCTCGAACCGCTCAATCCTGGGTCGTACTTGGTCCCATGTATCGTTGGCTCTGACAGGGGGTTCAAGGCGTTTGATGCGCGAGCGGAGTGCGTCGATGGCACGTCGCTGATGGCGATCTGCGGCATGCTTCTCCTCTTCGTTGCGTCGAATGGCCTTTTCTTGAATCCGCTGGAAAATCAGTTGCAGGATTTCGGGGTCAATGTTCGCTGTCCGGCGATCGGCGGATACGATTGCGTTGAACTCTTCGAAGGTGGTCTTTGGCGCAACCTCGAAACGTTTGTCCTAGAAGCTAGGTTAGCGGAGTTTGCAAGGGTAGAATACGAGGGGTTCTCACATCAAGTACATCCAAGACATCGTTGCGTGGGCCGCGCAGCGACCGCTCCTCCTCCTCTACCACATCCCAGAAGAGATCGATCGGAGACGACCCAGCATTTCCCAGCATGCCAAGGTACCGGGGGTCTTCGTTAACTAGAGGATAGATATTCATCCATTTGCTGCCGGCCTTGATCTTGCCCTGTGATCTTAATTCCTTAAGGAGCTCAATGTACTGCTCTCGAGCATGGCGCTCCTTTCGGGCCTTCGCGGCTTTCTGCTGCTGACGGGCATCATTGAATGCTCGCTCCAGCGCCTTGATGTGGTTCTCAAATGCGGTCAAGATATCAGACTTGCTCAGCGTCTTGAACTTATCATCGCTCTGGACTTTGTCGTTGGATTGGATGATCGCCTGCGCCTCAGACCAGCGTGTATAAGGCTCGAGGTCCAAGGATTTCAAGATATTGACCAATTCGTCCATGGCAGCCTTGCGCTTCACCGCTTCCTGTTCGACGTGCTCCTTCTTGAGCTCAATGATGTATTCCTCAAACAACTGGCGTCTCTCAGCCTCGTCGTCTGTGGACCTGAAGATAGTCTCACCCTCAATAATCGGCCGAATGGTCTTCCACCGGCTGTAATGCTTGATTTCAGGATGACGCTTCAGCATGATATTGAAATCTGCTCTGAGCTTAGCAAATCTTTCTTTCGCCCGATCCTTTTCCTGCATTCGAACCTCGACCGCGTACTTCTCAAAGGCTGCTTTGCGGTCTCTAGGGTCTTTTAGGGCACGATACTGAGGATCTTTGATGGTCTCGCGCATTGTCTGCTCCCAAGTCCAGTCGGGTTGCACATTGTGGCGTTTCAGCATCTTCATGAATGCACCCTCGGCCTCTTCAAGGGAAGCGTATTCGGGATCGGCTTGCTGATTCCCTAGGACGGGTGCCGCTGCAAGACCATTAGTGTCCATTGCATTATAGCCTCCACGGCGATCGCCATAGCCTCGATCGTAGTCATCGCGTTCTCTCTGCTGGGGGTACGATGGAAACGAGCTGACTCCACCTGCAACGAATGTTGGAGCTCTGCTCAGGAAAACGTTAGCACATCATTCACAAATACATGGACACAGTCGATCGCGCCACTCACGCTATAGGGGGAGGCTGAGGAGGCTGAGCCTGCGCCAGAGCATTTTTGTAAGCATCTGGAATCTCCCAGGTGCTCTGCTTGGTTTCGGTGTTGTACCAGTATTTCCGCCCATTATCCGTCGTGTATTCCTTCCACGGTTGATTCGCCAACGCGCGCTAGAATTGTAACACGTATCAGATTAGCTTGAGACATGCAGAGTAGGGATAGAAAGGAGTATACAAACCTCAACCGGTGTCATTAGCTCGACGGGTTTCGCCCATTGCGTGGCTTTGGTCTGAACATTGTAGTAGTAGACGCGACCTTCAGCGTTGCGGGCCTCCTGCCACAGGGCGGGCGCACCGCCTGGACCATTCATTGGATTCATGTTGTCAGTGCAGAGGCTCCCAAGATGAAGGGGACTTGCGGTTGCCAGCGATGAATGAAGGCGAGAAAAAGTAACACGGAGCGGCGGTGGTTCGCAGAAGCTCCTCCGGGGTTCCTGCACTAAGTGTGTTTGTCCTGTTTGCATCGACTCCTTCCCAGGGTCCGTCCGTCCGTCCATCCCATAATAACATGGAGTGCCTCCATCCCTCCCTCCACTTGTCGGTCCCTGGCTTGCCATGCGACTGTCTAATTGGTGATTTGTTTGTGACCCTCGGTGGATTTGTCGCGTGTCAATCACTGTTCGTTCAATACCCGGAAGAGGACTATGCGATCATTGTCACCCCGCTAGTATGCCGAGTCTTGATATCCCCGGGGAATTCCTCAGGCATGCTGTTCTAGATACAGTTGTCCCGCATGCTTCAGATGTAGACTTGGAGGCTGCTCTGACGTCTGCTCTGGAAGGAGGCGCAGATGACCTGACCTCAGTACTTTCGCAAATATCCCAACGCTCCGTTCTCTTCTTCGGTATGTTATGACCTGTCGTCCAACTCGAGCTCTGTCTCTTACTCATCTATAGCGGGATACAGATGAGTTCTGCACCGTCCGCATCGTCCTCCGACTCTCTAATTGTTCACCTGCTAGCCTCAAACAATACCTTCCACAGCTCGAGGTCGGCCTAGATGCCTTTGCTATCGATCCGGCCGAGACTGTTGCAGAGAACCCGACTTCGACCAGAGATCTGATCTTCTCAGGGGCCGTCAAGGCACAGGAGCCGCTTGTGGTTGTCAACGAGTTCGAGGGCGATGCAGGAGAAGGCAACCATGTCTATGTGATTTGGAGCATCGAAACTTTTCTCAGTAAGGGGCTTCCGGGACCTCTGCCTTTGCTCGGGTTGTGCTAATTGCTATAGAACGCCCGCGCATACGCATCACTCATCCTTCCCTTCTTTTCATCGCCTCCGCCAATCTCAATCTAGCGAAGAACCAACAACAAACATCTCGTGGGGACGACTACCTTCCACCGTTGATACCAGCATCCGCCAACGTACTACAGCCTCTGTCTTCGGACAAATGCCTCTCTCTCAAAGATCCTTTCCTCCCAGCGTCCCGACTTTTGCGTGTTGTACCGGCACAACAGACCGAAGACCCCATTTACCATATTCAACAACGTTCAGGGCATCCGATCCGAGTTGTTCCAGCTGCGAGTGCGAGGATACGATATGCTCGGCTGAACTCTTATAGCGGGCGGCCAACCACTGTCGCCAGCCTTGACTTTGAAGTGACACCATTTCTCACCTGCGATGTGACATTTGATAAGGCCGAGCTCCGGTTGTCAGATGGAACCATCGAGACACTTTCAGATGCGCCAGGACTTGTCCCACCCATCAGATGCCTACCACGAGATGATATAACCCTGGTATACAAATTGACCCCTGAGGAAGGGCAGAATCCAAGTCCGTCAACGACGGTCTTGGTCAGTGTCCTCGATATATCCTTGGAGGCCGTGATCCACCTATCGCACAATTGCAATCCACGAATTCTGATGCAGTGGAGGACCAACGTGGACTTTTCTATGCCACTCAACCCTACCTTTGGTGCTCCCAGCCAGGCCCTGCAGCGGAATAACCGTCCGGCTAGCCTTCCTATGAATCAAAATCTCAACAACGCGATGGCAGGAGGGACAGGAGTTAATCGTAGCTCTTTAAGGGATAGAGCATACTCTACGACAGATCTCGGGGTGTCAATCACGTTCACTGGGCCTCCTCGAGTGGAAGTCGGCAAGCCATTCTCGTGGAATGTCTTCATTGTGAATCGGTCCACAACCGTTCGAAAGTTTGCCATGATAGCCATCCCTCGACGGAAGAGACCCGATCCCCGGACCCATACGGCGCGCCCCTCATCCTCATCAGCATCTATTCGCAAGGAAGCCCAGATTGCAGAAGCCGTGACTGACGACAACATCGTGCATGCGCTCCAGAAGAGTGTGGCTGGCCAGGAAGCCGAGCTTGTTTCAATGAGCACAGATGTTCGCGCTGGGTAAGTGATATCCTGAGCCATTATTGTTTGACAGGATGATTAATGACTAGCCTCGCAGACCACTTCTGCCGGGGACTTGCTTTGCGACCGAATTGAAATTGTTGCCATTGGCCGTGGGCGCCCTCCGTCTGGAAGCCGTGCGTCTAGTGGATGTCAATACGAACGAAACGACAGACATCCGAGACCTTCCGGATATTCTCTCCTTTGACAGGAACATGACAGCTTGAATGCCGCCTACGATGTAAACTTGTGTGTATAGATCTGATTGTTTGCATGCCTGACTGATGTGTAAACGGCCATGAGAGGACGATTCTGGTGCAGGGTTTGTGCAATATTTGTATGGAATAAATTAATAGATTATATCCTATGCCACATGGTGCACAACCGAGAAAGGAGTAGAGTAACTTACATATGTGTAGTCTAATATTGCCAAGCTAAAGCGGCAACAAGATGGGGGCGTGAACTAACTACTAGGTAGTGAGGGGGGCGCAATTCAGCCCTAAAGCGGCAATGAAGGGGGGGGGGGGGGGGGAGTGCGCCCGGTCGGCCTGCCGGGCGGAGAAGGGCGGAAGATCACGCGAGTGGATGATGAGAGGAGAGGAGGGGAAGTGAATGATGCATGGAGTTGACTGTCTGACTGTAGAATGACCTCGACCTTTGCGCATCTTCACTGCCTCAGCCTCCAACCTCAACCTCAAACACTCCTAAAAGTCCTGCTGACTTGGCCTGATTTACTCGCTGGACGAAGAGGCTCATATCATCATCATCATCATCATTTATTCTCCTTGACCTTCCTGTCTCCTCTTACTTCATCGCATTTGTGCCCACTTGACAGACGATCCCCAACCTCTTTCTCCCCCTTTCTTACTGAGCATTCAGTTGTTGCTTGTGCACCCACCCAAACCCCGAACCCTTTTTTACTTAAACTTATCTATCCTTTGCGTCATACCTTCGCCGTCTCTGCCAGCCCGGCCTTTCCTTGCCCTCGCCTTCGATTTACTTCCATCCCGTGAATCCCTACTCCCCCCCCATTACATTATTGAAATCTGTCTCCGTCATGTTCTCCGCTGGTCGTCGCAGCATTCTCGATGGACTCAATCGGCGGTACATCTACGGTCGCTTGGTATGTACTAGATAGACACTCTCAATTTCTTCTTTCTTAATTTCCCACAACTCCACATATTACTACAACAATTCACCACTACATACCTCATTTCTTAAAGATCTCTTTTTTGCTACCACAGCACGAAGAATTGAGACTGACGTTGCCCCTCGTCCATTTCTCACCCATAGCCACTGCTTCATACGATAATCTTTCTTATCGAGATGGCGGCGGCAACGCGGCTTGCCGCCAAATTTAACTCCTACTATTCGGAGAAACCAGGTAGGATTCAGCGAGGCGCCCTGGAGCGTTTTGCCAGTTGACTGACTCAACTTGTCGCCTATAGTCCTCACTACTATGGTCACCAACGCGGTAAGAGCCCGCAAAAGAAGCGCAATGCGGAAGACGCATTCGAGACAATCATACTGACTGTGGACGGTGACAATAGATCCTGGGTGGAATCGCAGACACTGTAGCACAACTGATCACGGCTGTCAGAGCTGGCTCCGCACGCCGCTCGTCCAATGGTGGGGACTTCATCTCGATTGAGATCCACGATCTAGACAAGGAGAAGCCGCCTGCTCTCGGGGAGCTGGGCCATGCGCGACACGCGATTCCAGCGTTTGACTTTGAGCGCCTCACCCGGTTCATGTCGTACGGCTTCTTCATGGCCCCGGTTCAATTCCACTGGTTTGGCTTCTTGTCCCGCACTTTCCCTCTCACGAAGAAGAACCCGAGCATTCCGGCGCTGAAGCGGGTGGCTTTTGACCAGCTCATGTTCGCTCCTTTCGGTATGGTGAACCTTAAGGTCAAGTTACTGTGTGCGGACGGATGGATCGCTAACCAGGTGTACAGGGTTGGCGTGCTTCTTCACATTCATGACGGTGGCTGAAGGTGGTGGAAAGCGGGCCTTGACGCGCAAGTTCCAAGACGTATACTTGCCTACGCTGAAGGCCAACTTTGTTCTCTGGCCTGCCGTCCAGATCCTCAACTTCCGTGTCATCCCCATCCAGTTCCAGATTGTAAGTTTCCATGGTCGGTGCCTGGTGGTATGTTGCGCCATGCTGATTAAATGCTATATAGCCTTTTGTGTCATCTGTTGGCATCGCCTGGACTGCTTATCTGTCATTGACCAACTCTTCGGAGGAAGAGTGAAAAAAGAACGAATTCTCATCTTGAGGCATATCGAGAATCGTGCGAAGGTGCCATTCTTTCACGCCATATTGTTTCACTAGGCCCTGCTTTTCGGTCATTTGTATGCTTACGGGGGCGTTGTATATCAATGGTTGGGTTAGGGGAATTGCTTGTTCTTGTCGCATGGGTGGAGTCTTGGTTATCTTCCATGCCGGCAATGTTGTTTGATGCGCATTGACAGGTTTTCGCTCACTAATATACATGTGCTTCGATTGTTTTGAGAAGGGGATGAAGATAAATACACAGTGTTTGTTGTTTTGTTCAGCAGTGCCGAGGATATGAAGATTTGGGGAATAGGTTGTTTTGGTCCAGGGTGGATGACTTCTCCGGGTTCGGGGGGGAGGATCACGGAACGGGACGGAGTCAATAGTTCCATCAGAGCCGAGATGGCTAAAGCTGCCCATGGGGTGTAGACCCGTTGTACGGTTGTAGGGACTCCAGTATACTTAGTTAGTACATCTAGGCTCTAGGTAGTCTCCAGGAAATCCCTATATGATCCGAAGCGGGATTGACTGATTTCTGCGGCAGTGACATCAGTCCCGCAACAGCCCGAGCAGCAGGCGAATCTCTCAGCTCAGCTCACCGGCCGCCCCACCAATTCCCAAAACAATTACCCCGCCAGTCTGCAACCAAACCCGCTGTAACCAGACTCGGTCACCGTGAGATCTCTCGAGTCTCCCCTCCGTGCTCATAAAGTAAAAAGCCCATTTTCCATTCCAATTTTCCTTCCTTCTTCTCTCCTTCTTCCTTTTCTTCTCTGAACCAATTCCCACGGATTCATTAGTCACCATGTCTCTCTCCAACAAGCTCGCTATCACTGACGTCGACCTCAAGGACAAGCGTGTCTTGATCCGCGTACGTTTACCCCTCACTTTCTTCTCTGCAGCAGCAATTGAATCCCCATACTAACAAAGGGACTTACAGGTCGACTTCAACGTCCCTCTTGATGCCAACAAGAACATCACCAACAACCAGCGTATCGTTGGAGCTCTCCCCACCATCAAGTACGCCGTTGAGAATGGCGCCAAGGCGGTCATCCTTATGTCTCACCTCGGCCGTCCCGACGGCAAGGCCAACCCCAAGTACAGCCTGAAGCCTGTCCAGGCCGAGCTCGAGAAGCTGCTAGGCAAGTCCGTCATCTTCACCGAGGACTGCGTCGGCAAGGAGGTTGAGGAGACCGTCAACAAGGCCAGCGGCGGCCAGATCGTTCTCCTGGAGAACCTGCGTTTCCACGCCGAGGAGGAGGGCAGCTCCAAGGACGCCGAGGGCAAGAAGGTCAAGGCCGACAAGGAGGCCGTTGCTGAGTTCCGCAAGGGACTGACTGCCCTGGGTGACATCTACATCAGTACGTTGCTTCTGTCTGGCTAATGCATTGTATGAGGCTAATGTCTATCTCCCTAAAACCAGACGACGCTTTCGGCACCGCTCACCGTGCTCACTCCTCCATGGTCGGAGTCGACCTTCCCCAGAAGGCCTCCGGCTTCTTGGTCAAGAAGGAGCTGGACTACTTCGCCCAGGCCCTTGAGAGCCCCAAGCGGCCCTTCCTGGCCATCCTGGGCGGCGCCAAGGTCTCCGACAAGATCCAGCTGATCGACAACCTGCTGCCCAAGGTCAACAGCCTGATCATCACGGGCGCCATGGCCTTCACCTTCAAGAAGACCCTGGAGAACGTCAAGATCGGCAACAGCCTGTTCGACGAGGCCGGCAGCAAGATCGTCGGCGAGGTCATGGAGAAGGCCAAGAAGCACAACGTCAAGGTCGTCCTGCCCGTCGACTACATCACGGCCGACAAGTTCGCCGAGGACGCGCAGACCGGCAAGGCCACCGACGCCGAGGGCATCCCCGAGGGCTTCATGGGCCTGGACGTCGGCGAGAAGTCCGTGGCCCTGTACAAGGAGGTCATCGCCGAGGCCAAGACCATCCTCTGGAACGGCCCCTGCGGTGTCTTCGAGATGAAGCCCTTCGCCAAGGGCACCGAGGACACCCTTGACGCCGTCGTCCAGGCCGCCCAGTCCGGCTCCATCGTCATCATCGGTGGTGGTGACACTGCTACCGTCGCCGCCAAGTACGGCGTTGAGGACAAGCTCAGCCACGTCTCCACCGGTGGTGGTGCCTCCCTCGAGCTCCTCGAGGGTAAGGACCTCCCCGGTGTCTCTGCTCTGTCCAGTAAGTAAAAATATTACCAATATATCTAATGTCTCACCGGAGGCGTAGGGCACGGTTTCCTGTAGGCGTGCAGTGTGGGGGATGAATGTGGGAGGGAGAGAGAGAGAGTGTGTGTGCATATATGCGTGCGTCATGTTTGCCTGTCTGGTCTTGTTCGTTCGGTCCCCCTTGCGTGTCTGTCTGTCTCGGGGAATTTTTGTGCGGTCTTATGCTTTCAACGAATGTAATGTACAAGGATGATGATAATTTCAAATGTTTTTGACTGTACTTCTTTCTGATCCGAGGTTTCTGTTCAGTGACAGGGTCGAAGCTGTGAATGATTGACAAATGTCGGAGCTTGTGTGTAGACTGGGAAGCTCCTACCTTATTAGTTAGATAATCATGTAGTACTCTGCTAGTCCTCTAAAGGCCACATCATATCCACCTTGCCAGAATATAGTAGCAGACCCTCCATGCTCGAGACAGATGTGTCCCCTGATCGAGCCAGTTACCTGACACGAGCACCCTCCCCCAATCCAGAAACACTACTGTACACCCGTACCTAGGTAAATACACCACTCCCACTGCATAATCATCCCCCCTCCCTTACCATCTCATAAAAAACCACTCTACGACCCACAACCCCTCCACCATGCACCATGCACCCTACACCCAAATCATCCCCTAAAAAGACAAGGGAAGAAAGTCTAACATCAATGCCATTCTTCATACCATCACAAGATCACAAGCATAACCCTCATCAACAACCTCCTCCCCGCAGTTGCTATCAACGAGACGCATCCACCTTTTTCAACTCCTCTCTGTAGACACACAATGTACCAATCAGCCTTATCCTTATGCCCAGAAAATGCTCGAAACAAAGCCTCCAGACTCAACGGAGAGAGCCGGATGGCGCCACAGTGCCCAGCACTCATCAAGCCGGGTACGTAAAGAGGTTGTGTTATGGAGAGGGGAAAGACCTACTTCAACTGCTTCGAAAAGTCCTCGGCGGCGTCGTCATCGTCCCAGCTTTCCTCCCACAAGTGGGCGTCGGTGCCGTTGGCGGTGGCGGTGCCTTGTTCGGTTTCGTCTTGGGGCCAGTCTGTTTTTTTTGGGGGACAGGGTCAGGTTGGTTGGTTGATTTCGGGGAGAGGGGGAGGTTAAGGGTGCTGGGTGATGGGGTGTATGATGTAGGGTAGGGATGGTGGTGCGGCGTGGGAATTGGTTGTTGGGAAGGGGTGTGGTGTGGTGTGGTTTACGCACCTTCCACGGGGAAGTCCTCGAACTCATCGTCTTCTTCCAGGACGGAGGGCTTCTGTTGTTGTTGGGGCTGTTGGCTGGGTTCGGCCTTGTCTTGGGGTTGGGTGCTGGTGCTGGACATGATGGGCGGGGAAAGAGAGTGGTGGTTTCGGGGGGGGTGGTTCGGGGGTGGTTGCGTGGGTTGGTTGGTGTCGCGATGGAAGATTGAGTGTATGTAGTCGTGATTCTATTCCGGGTCAAACTGTGGGTTGAGGGTTGAGGTGGTGTTGAAGGTGATTGATGGGGATGATGGTGATGGTGATGGTGATGAGGGGAAAGCAAGCAAGCAAGCAAGCGCGCGCAAGCCGCAGCGAGCAGCAGCAGTAGCAATGACAAGCTCACCGCACTCAGCTCCGATATTCCGCCCAACTGGGTTTAGCTTGATGAAATTGTGCATTGATAATTATACACTAATTACTCACTATGCATGACTCGAACCATTATGCCCTCATTCATTCCCTCTGACGCAACATCCACAATCTCACTCACTCCCTCCTTGGTCTGGTCCAACGGAGTTAAGCAGCAACACTCAAGCTTTCCGCCTAAACAAGGCTGCCTTCACGAACACTACCCTCTTAGACTCTACCGAGTGAACACATCTCCCCCGGTCGGGAATCACTGAGGAAGCGGAGCTGCATCATCTATTCTTATCGTTTCAAATTATTGGTTTCGAGTCTACCACCAGCGTTACCTCCGCCTCGCCTCGCCGCTCCGCCGCCGCCGCCGTCGCCGCAAGTGGACACGGCTTAGATCACTCCCGGACCCTTCATCTGGTACTTGTGTGCTTATAATATCGGTCCCCAAGTCGAGTCCCTTTCCTCTCTCTCCCCCCTAGGATTATTTCTTACCTTTCTGTTCTTCCCTTTCTCGTTCCTGCCCTGTTCTACAAGGTTATGTCCCCGGAAAGTCTCTACGCTGCTGCTTTGATGGGAGATTCGCCGTCTCTCCCTCTCCGTCTGCTTTTTCTTCCTTTGGGCTCCGGGCCCCTCCGGCTCGTGACTGGAATCTGATCCTCCCCTCCCTCCCCTCAAAGTTGTCTCGTGCCCACCTTTCTTTGTTTATTTGTTTAATCTTCGCCAAATCCATCTTGAATTTTTTCTCCAATCAAGGATGTTTAGAGTCGGCTCATGGCTGTACGGCAAGAAGCCGGGCGCCAATGCCTCCACCCAGTCTCTGGACTCTTTGTCCGAACTACGGGATCGTGAGTGATTCCTTCTCCATGTGTTGAGGTTTGGCGCCAAAATCATTACGTACGGAATGCTGACTTCGCATCTTTGACTAGTTGAGGATGCCATGAGGGGTATGTTCTTTGCATGAACCTCGAATCTTTGATCTAAAACACCCCCGCTCTTTCCGGGGGCTAGCGCTGCAGGTGTATATTGGTTCTAACGAAGTCGGGACACAGCCGCTACTTTGATCCTCAATGACGACGTGGATGGTGCCGAGGATGGCCTGTCGGAAGGCACCTCCTCCTTCCACAATGTATGTATGCTATTCTGGATGAGTATTGTGCCTCTGCTGATCGAGGTCGGTGTTCTTTCTTGTCCGGTCGTGTAGCTCGGAAGAGGTGTGGTCGCTTTCATCCGTGCCACCTTGGGGTTTGAACAGGAGATCATGCGTCAAGGTAGGTTGCCCTACTAGATCTACTGAGTCGGGAACCTTACTGATGGCGTATTGTTCATAGCCTCGGAGCGACTCAATGCCGCCGAAACCAGTGCCGCCAATGATCAACATCGAGCGCAGCACAACTCCAATGCGCCCAACTCGTACCACTCTCAGATCTATGCGCCCGGGACGGAATTTGCGCTCTGCCAGGCAATGGCGCAGCTCATGAGTGCGGTTGTCGGGGTTCTGAACGAGAGCCTGACGGAGAGTATCAAAGGGTTCTACCGACTACGCAAGGCCTACATCACGTTGGATGCCATTCTGAAGATGGAGCAGAAGTTCATCATGCAGGAGCGGAGCTCTGGAGATAGTACTCCTACGGAGAGAAACAGCTCCATGACCAAACTTCCAGGGCCCAGTGTCACGACTAGCACGGCTCCTGCATCGCCCGTGGACGCGGCCGGGCTTTCAAAGCAACTGACCGGTCTGACGGTCACGGGCAGCACCGAGACCTTGACCACCACCTCAGACATGCTAGACCAGGATCCGGAGTCTGACATTTTCAAGAACCAGATCGATGTGTTCATCCACTCGGGCTCTAATTTCTGTTTCGGCATCCTCCTGGTCCTGATCTCCATGGTCCCGCCCGTGTTCAGTAAATTGCTCGGAATCATCGGATTCCACGGAGATAAAGAGCGCGGGCTCAAGATGTTGTGGCAGGCGAGTAAGTTCCACAATCTGATCGGAGCCCTCTCCGCATTCGCAATCCTCGGCTACTCCAATGGGTTCGTCCGCTACTGCGACATCATGCCCGACCCCGCCTCGCCGGACGACGTGCAAGGCTACCCTCAAGAGCGCCTTGAGGCTCTGTTGGCATTGATGAGGGAACGATTCCCTAAAAGTCAGCTGTGGCTACTGGAAGAGTCGCGCATGAACGGCGCCAACCGCAAGCTGGACGTTGCCTTGGAGCTCCTGTGCGGGAAGGACCGCAGTCCCCTCAAACAGGTCGAGGCACTGCGAATATTCGAACGTAGTCTGAATGCGATGTATCTCCACAGATACGAATTGTGTGCAGAGTCTTTCATTGAGGTGGGTCATCTTACGAGCATTCTGAAATGTAACAATGTTACTGACCTTGTTAGTGCGTGGATCTCAACTCGTGGTCTCGCTCGCTCTACTACTACATTGCAGGCGCCTCGCATCTGAGCCTGTATCGGGGTCTGTCCACGACCGATCCCACCGCTGCGGCCAAGCACGCCGAAAAGGCGACCGAGTACTTCCGCGCGGCCCCGCCCTTGGCCGGCAAGAAGAAGTTCATGGCGCGTCAGCTGCCTTTCGATGTGTTTGTCTCGCGCAAGATTGCCAAGTGGGAAGCCCGCGCCAAGGAATGGAAGGTCTCCCTCGTTGAGGCGGTGGGCGTTGATCCGATTGAGGAGATGATCTTTTTTTGGAATGGCCACAGCCGCATGACCCAGGCCCAGTTGGAGGAGTCGCTCTCGAAGCTGGCCTGGTCCGAGGGCCCAGACAACAAGGCGACCTGGGCGCGTGAGGGCCCGGAGGAGAAGGCCATCCTGCAGATTCTGCGCGCGGCTGTCTACCGCGCCATGCGGCGGCACGACGAGGCCAAGGAGCTGATCCAGACGGGGATCTTCACGCAGGACAAGTCGCTGTTCACGGGCCATCTGCGAGACAACTGGATCTACCCGGTCGCGCACTTTGAAATGGCCGCCAACCTGTGGATGGAACGGCCGACGTACCAGGCGCTGCACGGCAAGGCGGTCACCGCCGAGGAGACTGGCGGTGAGAGCGACCCGTTGCAGCTGGAGCGGCGGCAGGTGCGGGAGTGCAAGGAGCACCTCGAGAAGGCGGCCAAGTGGGAGAGCTACGAGCTGGACGCGCGCATCGGCCTGAAGGTCACGGCGGCCATGGAGGCGGTGCAGAAGTGGGAAACGGCTCACAATACCAGCGTCTAATGGGAGTTGGGGCATCTATACATACCAGGGGTGAGTCGATGACGATTGACGAGTTCTAATGACGGGTTGTACAAATATCCGCCGGCGTACATGATACAGAGGAATATATTTACACACCGCGAATCAATCAGGAATAGATAGATGGGGAAATGAATGCGATTTCGACTGCAATGTCAATCATGGATGGCAGCGAATATTTCCTAACTAAGTATTTCCTAACTAAGTAAAGGGATATACTTATCTAGGTGATTCTTGAGCCGACGGTCACGTGCCTGTCTTTTTTGTTCTAGAGAATGAATAGAATCTCCACCAAGTACGGAGTGTCTATTTTCGCAACAACGATTTTCTCGTTACAGCAAAGTTATCGACCATTCCCAATTGATTCGTTATAGCGAGAATCCGCAGTATGTACACCGCGGTTCGTCATCACTAGAAAGTTCAACGCGGTATCAGCTGTCTTCCGTAGTTCCAGGTTAGGCATAGATGCAAGTTCTGAAGTGGCGTCTCGGATTCTCGGCACCGGATTTATATCCGAGTCCACCAGCGATATGTCCGAGGAGCTCGGGCGGATGCTCCGACGGATGGCTCCGACGATGCTGAGGATCGCTCTTCGTTTCAGGTGACAGGGCTGAATCCAGTGTCTGCATAGGTTTCTGATGTATGTGATAGGTTTGAATTGTGTGAGTCATTCACCAATACTTTTCTCGAGCGTGCAAGTGATTAGGATGTGGTCGGTGAACTGAGGCCGTCGGTGACGGTGCTCGGCTTTGCTCGCCGAAGGGTGCAGATGCACATCGATACCTGGGACTAAACAAGTTGGTGATGATAGCTAATCCGTGCTAGCGTATAGGTTAGGTAGGCCTGACTGCGTCATATTAGCGCTGGTCCCTCTTACCGCTGCTTAGAGGACAGGGCAGGTAGACCCTATCCTAGCAGTAGCGCATGCTCTCGCGCAATCTAGACTTCATCTGGACCCCTTCTGTCGACACAATTATCGTCGAGTGCGAAGCAGACACTTGACTCTATCCATCGCAGAAAACTGGAACGGATCTGCAGGTCAATCACAGCAGCACACATGTACATAGGGTACATACATACTCAGTGAATGATCTATCAATCCACATATTATGTCAAGACCCTCGGCGACTGAACCAGCAAACGCCGAGATAAGACCCAAGGATCGGAGGTCCGACAACGGCACAGTGGGGAGGGGAGTGGGAGTGGGAGTGGGAGTGGGCACCCAAGAGTTTTTTTTTTGCAAGTGGATGTAAGTATATCCTCTGGGCTCTATCACTCTAAGTATATTAACAGCGGACTGTTCCGTTGCAGTGACGTTGGACTTCCTCCCAATCTTTTTTCTTGACGGCAGTTCAACCTACTTCTGCTGGAGTGACTTCGAGGGATAAATTGACATCATCTACCTAGTATACATACTGTGTACTGCTTGCGAGAGAACAATCTTGGTCAATTTACTCTACAATCTACGTGAACTCTTTCTCAATTTTAATTTTATAGATTCTGTTGCCAAAACTCTATCTATAGTCGAGAATCGGGGAATTTGAACGGTGGAATTTTGCGAAATACCAAGAAACGATCAACATGTCACTTCCGGCCCACGAGGGCAGCGGCAGCAATTCCCAACCCCATAATCACCACCAGCCAAACCAGAATC